GACAGGAGCCTCAGAGCTCACCCAGCTCCGAGTGCTTATCAGGTGGCAGCGCTGTCCGAGTGTGGGTCCTCTCTCACTAGCCGCCCACCCTGGGCTGCAGCCTTGATCCCACCCGTCACACTAAACAGCTGTTCTCCTGGCCTGGGAGCCAGCAAGGGACTTCCAGGCCCCAGGGTACCGGAAAGCCAGCAGGTGTGTGTCGGGGGAGAGGCGGGGTGGGGAAGTGCTCCGTTCCTAGACCGGGCTTTTGCCTGGTGACTTGGAGAAGTGGCAGTGTCATGATATGTGCCCCAGTGCTCCTGAGAATCCCTATTTGAAGAGGTTCTGACCCCAGTCCTACACATCCACGTGGCGGCCGTGGGAAACTCCCCTTCCAGTACCACGGCCTGTGCTGCCAGCTCATGTGCAGGACCCTCCAGGGGCAGGGGGTCCAGAGTGCTAACATGACAATGGCAGGTGGCCTCACAGCGACTGCCTGAGGGCCACCCACCAGGAGGCAGCCCCTCAGAGGGACAGGAGCAGGGAGATGGTGTCGCTCACTCAACTACAGTCACATTTATACAGGAAAATGCAAATTAAAAAAGGAATAAATCTGGTACCTCCTAGTTGGTCACATTCTCCCTGCAGGGACCTGCTGTGTGTGTGGGGGGGGAGGGGCTTTCAGAGCTCTGAATCTACATTTCCTGTGCACTCGTAAACTCTTTGTTGTCACAAATGTACCCTGAGGATGTCACCATGTCCTCAACCAGTCAGTGGGCAAGGTGGGCCCATCGTGTCCTTCTGCATCCCTCAGAACTGCCTGCACCCAGCCTCCTCCAGCCCCCGGAGCCTCCCAGTGGGACCCTGGGCCTGGACATCTCCTTGGCAGGGACTGGTGCCTACGCACACCGGGGAGCCTGCTTCGCAGACCCAACTAGATTCTTCAAGGGAGAAACCCAACTCAGGCGGACATGTGCGATTCCATTTTTCCTGCCCCAAGCAGCCGCGGGTGAGGAGCCTGTGATAGCCGCAGCTGGCAACAGACAGGTCAGATGCGCGCTCTCTGAAGGACTGGGGGGCCAGCAGGTCACTCGGTCCAGTGTTTCATTTTGCAGATAAAGAGACTGAGGTCTGAAACACAAAACTGAGGTCAAAAAAATAAAGGAACTAGTGATTTTTTTTAAGAAAAAGATTTTTTTTAAAAAAAGAAATCAATATAACTCAAACTGGATCAATTTTTATAAAAGATTTATATTCTGGAGAAAAAGATCCACAAAGGATACAGGCAGAAAATTTCTAAAAGACAAAATATTGAGGGGCTAAGAACATCTTTGAAAAAGTTCAAGTTTGCTGGTGAAGAAACAAAAACGTGCCTTCTGTTTTTCTCAGTAATGTGGGGGAAGGCGCCCAGCGCTAGCAGGGTTCAGGACGAGATTCTTAGGTTGGACTTTTCACAGATGTGAAGTTCTCGGAGGGGAAGTAGGCTGTGTGTCCAGTCATGCCGTTAGATACACTGTTTTTACTCCTTGGAATTTGTCTTAATGAATTAATTACAGATAGTGACAAAGATTTATCTTCTGGGGTGTTCACTGCAGCATTTTTTATGATGGTTGAAAATGTGGAAAAGGCATAAATGTCCAATGAGCGGGGATTGGTGAAATAAATGGAACCCTAGGCAGCCACTACGGCTTAAAGTTTAGAAAAATTAATGACAGGAAGAGGTTCATGCCGTAATAAATTTTAAAGTTTGCTTCTAAAATTGAGTATTTTATTAAAGTAGATATTTCTAGATGCCAGAATACCGGTAATTTTTATTTTAGATTTTTATCTTTATGCACCCATACTTTTCAAAATTTCTACAATGGATGTGTCACCCCTCTTTCTTTCTTTCTTTGCATCTTCCTCTTTTCCTTTTTTGTCTTTTGTGCTGGGCTGGGCTGGAACCCAGGCCCTGGGACAAGCCGAGTCGCACTCTGCAAGCCAAACTCCCCACTGGGCCACACCCTCGCCCTGGACACACTGGGACCACTGACTCCAGGTGAAGAACAGCAGCGCTGGAAATTTGTCCTCCTGGTGCACGGTGAGACCACAGCGCACAGCAGCCGAGGCCACCGGTGGGCCACAGTCTGGACTTGGTTCAAGCCCTGAGGGGACAGACTCAGGAGACTTGGGTGGATTCATGGTCTCTAACACCTTTTTCTGCCATGCCTCAGACTTCTCCCTTCCTGGGTCTATGGAGTTTTATTTTGCTGATGTCCCAGAGCACCAGGCTGTCGAAGCTTGGCTTTACCCTGGTGGACACTGCTTTCTCCTACCTGCAGTCTGTCCTGACCCCAGCTTTTTGTCCTGAGGGCAAAGAAACCAGGACGTAGTTCAGATCTGCAATGCATCCCCAAGGCCCAGGTGTTGGAGCCTTGGTCCCGAGTTGTTGGGGCAGTTGGAAGGTAGTGGAGCCCTTAGGTGGTGAGACGTCCTGGAAGGGAGTTGCCACCAGGGCTGGGCCCCAGAAGGGGGACCCACCCTTTTCTCTTTTGCCACCAGCCATGAAGTAAGCATCTTCCTCTGTGAGTTACTCCCACCAAGACACGCCACCTTGCCACAGACCAAAGCAACAGGGCCAATGGATCATGGAATGGAACCTCCACAGCAGTGAGTCAAAATAAACCTTTCCTCTTTTTGAGTATCTAAGACATTTTGTTACAGTAGTGGGAAACTGACTGGCCCTCCAGGTGGAAGGGGGCTTGGCAGTCCTAGGCCCCCTTGGGTAGGTCACAATGGCCAGTGGAGCAGATGCTCCTTTATCTGGGGCTGCAAGGGAAGGGGAGGGTGAAGGAGAGGCACAAGCAGCAGCCTGACTCTTGGCTGGCACCAGAAGTTCCTCTCGACTCTATTGAATGGATTCATCCCTAGAAGGTGCCTAGAGAACACCCTGAAGAGACTCAGAGAGGGAGGTTTCAGGGCCGGGGCCAGTGGGCGTGGGGAGTTTGACAGTAGGGCCCAACTGCCGGAGGACAGACGGAAACCAACACCCCAGGCCTGTTGGAAGCACACTCCCCAGAGGAACGGCCTGGGGAAGCATCTGGAGGGGACGGCGCTCCAGCACTTGGCCACATTAAGTGAACACCTGTGTGGGGCCCATCGGGCTCTGAAGACCCCACTGTGGAGAGCAGACCCCAGTTTGCCCCCACGGGGCTGTGCGTAAGGTTAATGGTATCAATGCCAGGGCTGTGTGACCCGACACAGATAAGGGACGGCATCAGAAAGGACACCTGCAGATGCTGGCGGCCCCTCCCTGGCTCAGGGACAGGATCAGGCAGAGGCTGGCGCCCAGGCAGTGCCCTGGCCATCACTGGGACGCTGCTTAACTGGGTCTCTCTGTTTGTAGTGGTGCCCATTTGAAGCCAGCCATCGGCTCTGCTCCTCAGAAAGTTCCAGGAGAGGGCCCTTGATTGCCCTCGGGAAGGCTAATTAGTCCCAGGGACGGCGCGTCGGCGGGGCCTGCGGGACAGGGGAGCCGTCAGTCGGCACCAATGGCAGAGACGGCATGGGGCCGCCTTCTGATGGCTTTGTGAAGGTTGCTCTGTGTTTGACTGACAAATGCCACATGTCCCTATGCTGAGGGCACAGCCTGCCGAGTCTCTCTTCCCGCCTCTGAATGGCTCCCCTTGGCTTTGCTTTCATCCACTGGTTTCATCCGCCTGTTCTTCAAAGGGAGGAATCGCCAGCGTCCTGACGCCTCGCCCTGCGCAGGCCCCGATGTCCTGGTCACTCCTGGCTCCCAGGACTGTAGCAGAGTTCTTAGTGTGTGCCACCGCAGGGGCCACCGAGAGGCCTGCTGGGCCTCTCAGCTGCTCACCACCCACCCCCTCCCGGCGGCAGCCCTCCTGCCAGGGACGCTCTGGCCCAGGGACGAAAGGCCTTCAGCTGCTGTAATTAGGCCCCTACGTCCCAGGGCTCATGGGACCTGAGGGGATGCTGCCTTGGTCTTAAGTGGCCACATGGTGCCAAGGGACCAGGGCAGGCCATCTGCACCCGTGCCATCCCCAGGGGCTGCAGCTCCCTGTCTCCCTGAGCCATGGGCCATCTCCCGGAAGCCTGGACTCGAAGGGCTGCTCATGCCTGACCCCAGTCCCTGCCGCGGAGATTGCTGCCCTTCCTTCCTGTGCCCTGGCCCCGGCGCCCCTCTCAGCGCACAGCCGGTCCTGGCGGTGTCCGCCTCCTCCTTCCTCTCTGGCCCCAGCGGGCCTTCTCCTCTCCAGGCAATTCCGGAAACTTCTAATTGCTTTTCTCAGTCTTCCCTCCGAGAGGCACGTTCAAGACGCGGGGACCTCGTTTCCTCCCAGAGCTGCTGGCTGGAGGGCTGCACCGCGGGCCAAGTCGCTCTGAAGGGGAATTGGAGAAATTAGAAGACTGTCACCAAGAGCAAGTGACAAGCCCCAGGACCATGCTCTCTAACGACTGCCTAAATGTTTCCCTTCCTATGGTCAAGAATAACACCCTCGGCCGCCTCCAGCACCGTCTGTCCCCAGCTTCCTTCAGGACGATGACCCACTCACTGTCAGAGTCACCCTGCTCTTGCTTTCTCCCCTGGCTAAGGCCCCTCTCACTGAGCACCCTACTGGGGTCCCGAGTCCACTAGAAGCCCCCAGGTGCTGCTCGGCCATCTCCACGGAGCCCCCCTCCACTGCCTGGGAAAAGTGCCCCCTAGGAGCACGGCAGGCGCAGCCCTGGAGCCAAAGATGACGCTCCACGCGCAGCCTCGGGGAGCCCCACGGTGCCAGTGCCACGCCGCCACAGAGGGCTTTGTCGCTGTGCAGCTTCCACCTTGACTCTCACTTTCTACCTCAGGGTGCCTCGGGCCTTCAGTGAAATAAAGTTAAAATACAGAGGATGAGAGCTCCCCCACTCCTTGGTGGGAGACGGAGATACTTTAATATAGTTTTCAGCCAAATCCATCTCGAATTCAAAACATCAGAGAGAAACACAACTGGACATACAGAAACATCTCTGGAACCCAAGATAAGGGGCTTCGGTGAGAAATCACAGCAAATATTTTGCTATGAAGTGGATTCGAACTAAGAAACAGAAATAAAACTTTATTCTCAAAGAAACAACTTGAGGACCATCTGAGATTTTAAAGTATTGTGTTTTGAAGTAAAAACTATTATCTTTTTTTTTTTTTTTTAGCTCAAAAGAACCAGTGAACAGCATGTTGGATAGCACAGATACCTAATTACTCAAGAAATTCTCTGAGCTCTCAGAAGAAAACAAGGTGAAAATTATGAATAACAAGGAAGGGAAGAGAAAGGACAGAACCCAGAGTCCCTGCTCAGGAGACTGGGCCTACAGGAGTTCCCCAAGGAAAAACTGGAACAGAGAAGTGACCAAGGAACTAAGAGAAGAAAAATGAACAGAGATAGAAATTGCGTAAGTCACAGTCCATGGCAATAGGGCCATAAAACCCGACCTGTAGCAAGGGGCAAGAGCCAAGCCACTGGATAACTGAAAAAGTTCCTGGGTGGGAGGAAAAGGAGCCACACTTAGAAATACCAACCATGGCACGGCGGAAGGAAGGGCCTGAAAAACTGGGCATGTTGGACATCTGTACAAAGTCAGACCCTGAAAAGGAATGTTCTAATGAAGGATGAGGCAGAGGGAGGAAACGAGGGCAAGAGGAAGGGGGGCTTGGGAGGTAGCCCTGGGGGGTGGGGGGCTGGTGGAAGGGGCTCTCCCGGGAGCTGGCTCTCTGAAGTGGGCAGGAGTCCAGGGAGGCCGCCCCGGTGCCAACACGGGCAATGGCCAGGAAGAGCTGGACAGAGGACCGGGCGGGCGGGGGGTGTCGCCTACTTTTGCATGCCCGTCTTTTGCATGGGGAGTAGCTTCAGAAAAGCAAAAATCTGCTTTGTCCATCTTCCCGTGAACTCTTATGAGACAAACCCCAGACCGCTGGGCCTGGCCGAGGCCCCTGGTGGGTGCTGTTCCTGGGCTGGTGCATCAGAGCCTTAGGGGAGAAGTGCTGAAGGGGACCCAGGCCACACACAGCATCCAGCCTAGGCCTGTTTGTGAACCGTCCACCGGCCATGCACACCCCTGCCCCACAGGGTACCCACAACATGGAGGTGAGGGGCACCATAACCCAGTACTTACTGTAGAGTTTAGATATGAGGTCTCCCCAAACCTTGCATGTGAGACAATGCGGGACGGTCTAGTGGTGACCTGATGGGGCTACGCCAGCCTTAGCCTAATCAGCGCATGAATCCACTGACGGGAATCAGCTGGGTGGTGTCTGCAGACAGTAGGGTGCGGCTGGGTCACTGGGGGTTTGTCTTGGGTCTGTATTCCGTCTCCGGTGAGTGGAGCTCTCTGCTTTCTGGCTGCCGTGTCCTGACCTCCTGCCCTTCTGCCATGATGTCCACCTCACCGTGGGCCAGAGCGCGGGAGTCGGCCATCTCCGCACAGACCTCTGAAACTGTGCATCCAAATAGCCCTTTCCTCTTCTGTGCTCTTCTTCTCTTCTTGTCAGGTCTTTTGGTCACGGTGACAAAAAAGCTGACTTCAACACTTACCTTGGGATGTTCTGGTCGCTTGGAAAAGCTGGTCTAGAGACAACAGTGACCTGGAGAAGAGACTTCTAGAGAAATACAGGGCCAGCACAAGAGGAGGCCAGGAGTCAAAAGGGGATGTGTAAGGTCACTTGACTCACCTGGGATCCAGCCTTAGTTGGGAGCCCACGCAAATGGGGACTGGCCACCTGCCGTACGTCTTGCATTATAGACCGCTCTCCAGGCCACTGTGGGGTGGTTCCAAGTCCTCTAATGTTCAGGTTGATGGGCGTGACAAAGCCCGCTCCTTCTCCTGGCAGTACACCCTGCGAGTTGGGGGCTGACCCCCACTCCTCTGATATTAACCAGAGACCTGGGAGACTTTCATGGGGTCCTCAGCCTCCCTCTCAAGCCCCCAGTCAGTTCCTCAGCCTTCAGGATTCGTGACCGCTGATGTCACAGCCCCAGTACAGAAGCTGCTGCCGGAGAACAACTTCCAAGGTTAAGAGAAAACACCACAGCGAGAGCTGAATGTCCTTCTTCACTCAACAGCTTCTGGAGAGCAAAGTAGAATTTCCTTTTCATGCATGAGAAGGAGCGAGATTGCTGGTCACGCGGGACCCCCGGAACTGCTGATCAGCTGTGTGCCTTGGGAGGGCCCAGGCCCGAGGAACAGCTTGAGGGAGGGCCCATAGAGCAGTGCTGAAGGTGGTGAAGGACAGTCCCCTCCCTGCCACTGGGACTGCCCAGAGGTCCTCAATGCTTCTGGAGACGTGGTGGCTGCCTGCGGTCCCGAGCCCCGGGCCTGCTGAGGAATGTCTCTGCCCTTGCTCCCGCCGGCCTCCTGGTACCTTCCCCCTCCCTGTGTCCTCCCTAGTCTCCTGTTCTCTCTGGCCTCTCCCTTCATGCCCTTTTTTTGGGCCCGTTCTTCGGTCGTTCCCCGGGGTTGTTGCGCTTTGGGTTGCCCGTTGTTCTTCCCCCGGCCCGGCCCCCCCCCGGTTTTCCGTTGGTTGGCTTCGGGGGTTGGTTGCAGCCCTCCAGCAGGCCACACGGGCCAGTCCCCCGACGGTGCAGAGCTCCAACCTCCCAGCTCCTGTACCACCTCATCCTTGGGGGCTGAAGACCACAGGAGGTGGGGGCTCTCGGACCTGGAGGCGGGAGTCCCACTTG